TCGACATAGTAAAAATTGTATGTTGTCATGGCGAGATAGATTATCTTGACAAGTCGACATAGTAAAAATTGTATGTTGTCATGGCGAGATAGATTATCTTGACAAGTCGACATAGTAAAAATTGTATGCTGTCATGGCGAGATAAACATACTATGTCGACTTGTCAAGATAATCTATCTCGCCATGTCGACATGATATGTATATTATGTCGAATTGACAACATAATTATCTTGACAAGTCGTCAAGTCGAATGGCACTTAGGTGCTTCCGTAGGTACTAGCTTGCGATACACTCTGGACTCGTACCAATTCAGATGTTGCGTGTTGGATGTTGGGCCACAGAGGAGCTGAAACCTTGATGGATGGCAACAGCATTTCAGTTGGCTCGGGCTCATATTGGTATCGCTTCGATTGCAATGGTTATGAAAGAAGACTTTTAAATTGCACTTACAATTCTCTTGACTACTGTTATGATAATCCAGTAATACTACAATGTACAGATGGCTGTAAGTGAATATGATTTGTTATTTATTTATCCTAATAATTAAATGATAGCAAAAAGACGAACTAACATTTCTGACGTTTTATCATAGTTAAAATATGAATAAAAATAATTACAACAGTAATGACGACCAATTAGAAATTGTGGTAAAGTAGCTGTATAATAATAATAATAATAATAATAATAATAATAATAATAATAATAATAATAATAATAATAATAATAATACTACTAATAATAATAATAGTTATTATTATTATTATTATTATTATTATTATTATTATTATTATGGTCACATTATTAAGAAGACACAACAATAATTGTTACTTATTGTTACAATCATATCATTACCATTATTGTCATCATCACCATCGTCGTTTATAATCATAATCTTCATCATAATCGTCATTTATCGTCACTATTATTATTATTATTATTATTATTATTATTATTATTACTATCATTATTAATATTATTATCATCATAATTAATAATGATGATAATAATAATAATAATAATAATATTATTATTATTATTATTATTATTATTATTATTATTGGTGGCAGTAGTAGTAGTAGTTGTTATTTTATATGGTAGCAGCAGTAGTAGTTGTAGTAGCAGCAGCAGAAGCAACAACAGTATTTACAGCAGAGCAGCAGCAGTTGGCCTATCTATATTATAGAACTGCCTATTTTTGAATTGTTTAGATGGCGATCAAGGCGATGTACATCTGTATGGAGGTTATAATCAAGGTCAAGGGACTCTTGAAGCATACCTATATGGCATTTGGGGTACCGTATGCTCGTACAATTGGAACAAAGACGCATCGGACGTTGTCTGCAGACAACTTGGTTATGATAGAGCGGAAGACAATTCTAACTCATACGAGGCAGCACATTATAAAACAATCCATACATTTCTAATTGAGTGTACAGGAGAAGAGTCTCAACTGAGCGATTGTAATTTCAACACATGACAGTGATGTTGCACTAACGTGTGTGCATGCAGGTGAGACTACCTTGTGCATCATCTAGAATTATTACAGGTTAAATATTTCCAAGTGTGTAGTATGGCCAGTTCATGGTTCTGGTTCTGGCGGGAGAATTAAATGTTTCAAATGTAGCGGTATGGCAGGACGGGTATTATAATGTCGAATGATAAAAAAAAATTCACTACCACATTTTAAAGAAAATAGAAATATTCATCAATTCCACAGCTCAAGTACATGCTAAGTTATATGTATAATATATTCTGTTTATCATGAAAATAATACATATAGCCATGACTCCTTTCTTAATTGTTTACTTCAAACTCAAAATGACTCTGGCATCAAATTTGTTCAGCTATTGACTGAGATGCGCATATCTTGCTGATGTGGCATGAAACGTGAGAATATTGTTTGACTGATCAGACCTTGGTTTCTATTGAATGAAAACAGTATAACATTCCGATTCATCATCATTCGCCATACATATTGTCATTATCATAATCATCACCATCATTATTAGTATCATCGTTATCATCATCGTTATCATCATCGTTATCATCATCATCATCATCATCGTTAGCATCATCGTCATCGTCGTCGTCGTCATCATCATCAGCATCATCTCATCAACGTCATCATCATCATCATCATCATCTTCATCATCATCATCTTCATCAGCGTCATCAACAACAACAACAACAACAACAGTATCATCCTTGTCTTATTGTTTATTGTTTGTTTCCCGCTTGTAAATGTATATGGCCTAGTGTATGGCAATAAATGAAATCTTAATCATGACGTTGGAAATTGTTTGCAAATATCCCTAATCTCCAAATACTTGCATTTTGTAAAAAAAAAAAAAGAAAAAAAAAAAAAAAAAAAAAGAAGAAAAAAATAATACATTTTTTTCTTAGGATTATCCGGTTCCGTTATTGCAGCAATCATTGTTGGAGTCATTGTTGGGGGCATCTTGGTGTTAGTGTGCGTGTTTTACCACTGCTGCAAGAAAACAACTCCACGACCTTCAAACACGTCGTTTGCTACTAGCCATCCACAAGTACCGAATGTTTCTCTACTGGTCCAAAGTTTGGTTGGGTATCAGCCTAGTCTTATTTACCCTGCAGCCCGATCGGCATGGACATCGACATGCCCAACGGCATGGTTATCGGAACCGCCGCCTTCATATAATAATGTAGTCAACAATCCAAATACATTTACATCGGCTCAAACATTACAGCACCGCATCCTGTAGAAACGTCTCCACCAGCTTTCATGCCATACCAACCACACTTGAATCAGGGTGTTGACCAAACGGCAATAGTGCTGAAATGCACAATAATATCCCATGTGGAAACGTTTTATACAATTCCCTTGGATTTTTATACAAAACTGCTTGGAATATCTATTGTTGTTGGGCTTAGCTAGTCATTTAGTCTTTAAAACGTAAATAAAATACATTTTTAAACATATATTGATTATCAGAACATGTTCCTATAAGAGTTTTTATTTTATCTAATATATATATATATATATATATAAATATGTATATATATATATATATATGTATATATATTTCATTTGTGTTCTACGTGTGTTCCGACAGAATAATAGAAAATAATTAAACAACTTCAGTAGTAGACTTTAAGAACACTGATTTATTATAAACTCGGATATTTCTGCCACTCCTGTGGCCTTCATCAGCGAGAATATATACATATATAATAATGATAATAATAATAAAAAATATATGATTATCACAAC